GATAATCATTCAATTTTAACAAAATACTTAAATTATTATCTTTATAAAAAAATATTACATTATTAAAGATAAAATAAATTAGATTGTTATCAAACCTAAATTAACTTATAAAAAATTGAATTGTACAAATTTATGTAAAAATGAGAACTTTTAAGCTGTTAATTGGATACTAGTATCGATATATTTGTTTTATATTTTTATGGGATCAACAAATTTATATTTTATTTAAATATACACAAATCGTATCATAAAATCAAGAAAGACAAAAAAGAAAAAAAATTAAAATCAAGATACGTTAGACGAGTACACTTGTGGTCTTCTACTTCTACTATCTAATACTATATTATAAAGCATTTGGCTAAAACTGTTAAAAATAATTTTTTATGCATAAAATATTGTTTATTGATGCATATTACTTAATACTTGCTCTTTCTTCTCTTATTAAATTTCGTTCAAATTAAAAAAAAATAGGGATGGTAAATTCAAGATTACAAGTAGGATATGCATGAGTACATCTTACTAAATCTTCATGTTTGAATTCGTGTAACTAACTGCGGATAAATATAATCAAATACATGATAAACATCATTTTAAATATAAAAAATCTAAAATATAATTAAGATAATCATTGAGTTCAAACAGGTTACATAATTATTATCTTAAAAAATTTATCTATTAAATAAAAAATAAGTTAGTTCGTTTTTCAATTTCAATCAAATTATAATAAGAAATTGAATTAAAGAAATTATACAAAAACGAAAACTTTTAAATAGTTAATTTGATACTAATATCGCTTATTTTTTCAAAATTTTATAATATGTTCAAATTTATAGTTTATTCGAAAACAAAAACATTTTCGTTTTCTTAAAACCACATAAAATCGTATTATAAATCGATAGAAGCAAAATATAAAACGAAACATTAAAATCAAGATGTATCTCATTGTATTGCACAAGTAACCTTCTAAGATTTTAAAACGAAGAGATATGCTAAATCCTTTTGGGCTTACGGGCTTCATTTAGTGTATTGGGCTGGGCTTCTCAGTTTTTTTTATATATAATTCTCTTAAAGTAATATTTTTATTCCTTTTACCAAAATATTAACCGCAATTCTCGATGTAAACTATGTTACAATCAGGCATTGCGGGAAGGGACATGTCGAGGATCACATTATCCAACCCCATCCCCGATTTTTAACTTTCGGGGATCCACGTCCCCATCCCCGGTCTCCAATTTTGCCGAGAATTCCCATCTCCGTGGAGGCCGGTACATCGGGTTCCTCAATGGGGTGGGTCTCATTCCCAAGCCTAGTAATAACTACGGGTGCAAACTATTCGAGCTTTTAACGAGCCATTCAAGTTTGAGCTTAATAAAGTTCATTTAACTTGATAAGTTGAGCTCCACGACACCATTGTTCAACTTAGCTCGTCGAAAGCTTGATTGAATTTTCCAGCCGAGCTGAGTTATTCGAGAATATATTTGTTTTCAAGTCAAACATATTCATTGTTCATATATCATATAATTTAAATGTACAAATTATTAAGCTCGAGTCAATAAATGAATTAATCGTTCTTGAGTATCAAGCCCATTAATGGCCTTGATAAACCTTGAATTTTAGGTATAATGTGTTGAAAAATTAAAGTATAGTCGATATTCACAATTTAATAAAGAGTAGAATTTTTTTTGATAAATACTAACTTATCTAATAAAGATTGAAGCTTTATAAATGAAGATCAAAACTTTGATAAAACCTAAATTTTATTACCAAAGATGGAAACTTTCTTAATCAAGATTTAACCTTTAATAATCCATAACGTAAAACCAGTAATCGGAATTTATACTGCAATCCTTGGATCTATCTTCCGCGATAGATTCGACTTAAAGAGAGATTTAGAAACAAAATGTTTACAAAGTGGTAATCATAAATAATAAAACAAACCACAAAAATAAAATCCTCTCCTTAAAGGTTTTATATGACTACTTTCGAAGCTGTGAGTATAACAGTTGCAGAACCCCAAGTTTTGATGCAGTCAATGTTCAATCATTAACCACAATGACAATCAAATTGAAGCAAAATAGATGCAGAAAAAGCGATGATAAGGCAGAATATAACCACATACACAGATAGAAAAATAGAAGAGAGAGCAGAGAATTCATATTTTTTTCTGTTGGTTTTCCTCAAAGTGTGCACCGTTATTTATATTAGAAAAATAATCAGATAACCATCTAATAACATCCATAAAATTTGGCAGCTTCATCCCCTAGAATAGGGATCACGTTTTGGATTTTGGAGACTTTATAAGTTAAAAAAACACGTTTAATTTAATTATCAATTTTGAAAATAAATCTGCTAAAACTGAATCCTTACTTAAGTATGAATACGGATAATTTTGTTTTCACACTTTATAATTGGTAATTTCTTGCACATTTCAGTTTATGATTCCAGTTTAGTCGATGTGTGGCTAGATCTTTCCATTCCAACATTAGTTAACATAGATTTTGGTGTTTTATTACCTTGAGATTTCGTTGTAATTGTTTGGGACAGGTTTATTTGTTTGATTTTTAGGTTTAATGTCAATTGTATTTGAATGTTAATTGATTTGGCCAATTTTATGATATTCTTGTGAATGATTGTTAGTCAAAACCCTAGGTGCGTAATTGCCTAGTGATTTTGATTGAGTAATAATTGAATTCTTTTACTTTTAGTAAGGATTTTGAAACGAGTTCTTGGAATCTTACAATCGAAGTTATGTTAAGCCAAGCTTACGTGCTTATTTTTTTAAGTCGGCGTTTTCTTAATTTGGTAAGGCTAACCACACCTAGGATGTTGAGAACTTGTTCATCGTTTTATTTATAGTTAAGATTTAGCTAAAGAGCTTATTTTTGCTAATGTCTAAGGCCCCGTTTACTAACCTCTTACTGTCTCTTACCCGGCTCTTACCCATTAAGAGATGCTTACCCGGGTAAGAGGTAAAAGTGTTTACTAAAAAAAAAAA